CTTTTCTTCCTATTTCACATTATCTATTATACCTTTTAGTCCTTATTTACACTTTCAGTTTCTCACACTAGAGAAACTATTCTGCATTTACAGATGTGTGTCCTATTTATTTCACTTAAGAGTATGGCCTCAATGTCCATCCATTTAGCTATAAATGTCTCTAATTTCTCATTTTTTATGGCTGAGTTCTACTCCATTTTATTAAAAACCCACATTTTCTTTATCCAGTCTCCAGGTGACGGGCATTTGGGCTCCTTCCAAGTTTTAGCTGTTACAAACTGTGCTGCTATGAACATGGGTGCACATGTAGCACTGTGGTATGAATCTTTTAATTCTTTGGGGAAGATCCCCAGCAGGGGAATAGTGGGGTCAAATGGGACTTCCAGTCCTAGTTAAAAGACAGTTTTTTTGGGGAAAAGGATGGAAAGGAAAGAGGATAAACAGCTACTGTGAGGTGGCAGGGGGCTTCAGAGCTAAGCCCTGAGCTCTTATCCTTGGCTCCTTTCATTACAGACAGCTGAGTTAGGTAGAAATATTACAGGCAGTCAGACAGGGCTGGGCCTGAGAGTCAGGGGAAAGGTGGAAGACATCACAGCTGCAGCTGGAGACGCATCTGCTGGAGACCAGGCCTCAAGATAAAGATGGAGATAAAGATGACTGGGCCTGCATACTTCCTCCAAAGACAAACGCCGGACCTAATGAAGTCTAGATAGACAGCAGTCACCCCATGGGTGACCAAGACCTCTGAACCCACTATTTCCTAGAAGAAGTCTTTGCTCTTTCCATCCTCACTTGTTAATGTGACTTGTTTCCCAATTGGACCACTATTACCTAAGCAACTGTACTTGTAACCTTATTGGTTGATCATGGCCGTAACCCACAAACGTGGGTTTTGCTCTATAAAGCTGCCCTGTAAAGTGAGGTCCCCGGCTACTCACTGGGGTCTTCTCGTGCCTCTCAGATACCTTCTTAATAAATATTTTTCTACTCTTAACCTCTGTTGTCCCTAGAATTCATTCTTCAATTTTTAGAAAACACAAACTTGGTATATCAGACATCTAACAGGTTGGGAGATATAATATTTCATATTTCATCTCCTGTATCACTTTTACTGGGCACCAGTGTCTTCCATCCCCAGGTGGACACCTGCTGCTCTCTGATCTGTTGGCTTGACTGTCTTTAATCTAACTTAGGCCTTCTGGCCATTTGGTTTCTTCTTGTCCCTTTGTAACAAATACTCAAAGGGGGGCGGCCTATTAGGAAGGCAGCTTACTTAATGATTAAGTAATGGGGACGTGTGTACATGTGTTTCTGGTGCAATATTATTATGCTGACGTTACAGTGACAACATACATACATGTGTATAAGCCTAGGTGTGTGTGTGTAGGTCTGTGTCTGCATACCTCTTACGTGTTAGATAAGGGTCCTTAGGTGGCTGTCTCTTACCACCCTTGCATTTGTCAGGTGGGTGAGGGCAGCTGGCTTTCCTGGTAATTGTGTTGCCTGGGCCTCTCCCAAGTCTGGCTAGCTTTCCCCTCCTTTGTCTTCCTAACTACCCTAACTGCAAAGTCTACCTGTGAGGGAAGAAAGCACTTAGTGGTAGAAGCAGAAACTGCTTTTTTTTTTGTACTGGGGATCGAACTTGGGACCTTGCGTTTGCGAGGCAGGCACCAGAACCACTGAGCTAAATCCCTGGCCCAGAAACTGCTTTTAATGGGTTTCCTCATTGATCTTAATAAAGCTCAAAGAGCCCTTTATCCTATCTTTACCTACAGGGCCCCCTGCCCTCACAACAGGAGCGCAGGGCTGGAGGGCCACCTTCTGACAGCGACCTTCGGGCAGCCCTCTCACCTCTCTCGGCCTTGTTTTCCCCTTCCGCAGATTCGGCACAGTGAAAGCTCTGCTGGCCACCGAGGGATCAGATGGAGGACGTGGGTGGACCTGCCCGGGGATGCTACCGTCACATTACTATCTCTCCATGCCTGGTACACACTGCCCAGACAGCAAAGGGCTGCTTACCTGCCGCCTCCAATTCCAGATAAGTTCAGACCTTGACACACGGGAAACTACAGCTTGTGGGAGATGACTGTGTTCTGTCTCCAGGGCCCTTGGTCAGGATGGAACGCTCCTTTCGGCAGAAACACTATTGTAAGATGTTTGGTATCGAAATGCACCCACTTTCTTTACAGGGCCCTGCATTGCTGAGCCCCACAGTGCACCCCCAAACTCTGGTTGCAGCTGCTCGGACCCCTCTCCTGACTGCTCCAAAACCCAGTGCCTCCTGACCCCCACAAAATCTTGTTTGCCCCATATTTTTCTCTTTCAAACTCAGTTTTTGTTTATTGGCTTATTTTTAATAGTACCGGGAGTTGAACCCAGCTTTAAAATAGGAAGAGTCCCCCACCCCCATAGTAACCCTCCAGTTGTGCACAATACCCAGAACAGGGAACTGGGCCCGGATTTAACTCCCTGGTTTCTGAAGAGCTGACCCCAAGGACCAAGCGTGGAGGTGGGGCCCCCAGGAACAGGCAGGCCAAGCCCTCCCAGGCTCCCAGGCTGAGGTCCAGGGTGCCGCGGCACGGCTGTGGGCCCCCGTGTGTGGGGGTGGCTCTGTGCCCACGTGTGGCTTGTGTGTGTGGGCAGTGTCAGTCTGTGTGCCCAGATCTGTGTGTGGTGTCCGTGTGTCTGCGGCAGGTAGTGAGTGTGTTCATGTGGCATCTGTGTGCTTGCTAGGACAGAGCTGAGAGCAGGAGTATACGCGTGTGTGTGTGGTATGTGTGTGTATGCTGAGCGATGTGATGAGTGTGTCTGTCTGTGGTGTGGTGGGTGGGTGATGTACGTGTGTGTGATGTCTGTGTGGTATGTAAAGTTTCCGGGTGTGTGTGCAAGTGTGCACACGTACGGTGTGTGGCACTTGTGTCTGCCAGTGAGCCTGAGTGACTCACACTCACACCTGGCCCGAGGATTCATCCTGGGCTCCACGCAGTGCCTCCTGGGACACCTGCGCCTCCCTCTCCCAAGCAATCTCCTCCCGGTTTGCAGGATAAGGGTCCGAGGACCTGCTGCTCCACGAGCACCTCCGGCTGAGGCTCAGTTGCACTCCCCATATGACAGAGAGGGACTGGAGGTGCAGAGGGAGTGTGCAGCAAGGTCACAAAACAAGTTGGTGACTGGAGCTAGGGCTGGAAGCATTTCTTCCGATTCACACTATTGGCCATAGTGGCGCATGCCTGTGATCCCAGCATTTGGAAGGCTGAAGCCAGAGGATTGCTGTGCGTTTGAGGCCAGCCTGGGCTACATAGCAAGACTGTCTGTCTGTCTGTCTGTCTCTCTCTCTCTCTCACACACACGCACACACACACAGTGCAATGTACTTTCTCCCGGTCCCCACAGGGAGGTAGGGCCAGCCTGCTTGGAAGGACCTTGCTGGGATTCAGGGGTGAGTGGCTGGCATACTGGGTGTGAAATGGTCCAAGTAGAACCTTGAATGGAGGTTGGCAGACAGCTCAGAGAAGGTCCCGGTAGTAAGCACTTTCGGGCTTTGTAGGATGAGGCAAAGTCGAAGATATTTCATACGTAGCTATGGAACCATGCAGAATCCAGTAACTTAGAACACTTTATGAATCACTCTTACCTTTCCTGGCCATCTGGCCTGCAGGTCTATGCAGGTTATAGGGGAAGAGACATCAAAGCAAAGAATGGAACCACAAACAGAGGCACGGACAAGAGGGTCAGAGCCCCAGAGGAGATCACAGAGCCGGGAGGGGGCGGCACGCAGGTCACAGGTGGGCCCAGGAGGAGAGGTGAAGTCCTGGGTGTATGAAGCTCAGTCACAGGGGGTGGGCAGGAGACCGGATCTGCAGAGAAACACTGCGGTGAGGCCAGTGCACCGGGGGAGAAGCCACTTTGGCCGATGGACCTCACCTGCTGCTTGTCCCGCTTTTCATGTGCGGACCCTCACTGCGGGTCCCTGGCCCACGTGCTGCCCGTGTGCCCAGGCTTCGCCCACTGTCTCGAGTGGTCACCCTGTGAGCTTCAGGCACAGGTGGGTGTCTTAGAACCGAACTCCACAGACCAGGAGCTCGGAAATGACAGAAATTCATTCCTCAGATTCTGGAGGTCAGAAATGCAAGATCAAAGTGCCGGCAGATGGGTGTCTCGTGAACTCCACCTCCCGGTCTATAGGTGGCGCTGTCTGACCGTGTCCTCATGTGGCGGGAGGGCAAGCCAGCGCCCTGCGGGTCTCTATGTTAAGACACCAGTCCCACTCCTGAGGAAGTACTCTCCAACCTCCTCGTCTCCCCCAGATCTCACCTCCTAATATCATCACTGTGTGTGGGGGAGGGGACGGTATTTTCAACGTGTGCATCTGGGGACACAAACGTTCAGACAACAGTCACGGCCCACACTTTCAGGACACCTGCCCCAGCTGGTCCCCCCCCCCATCCCAGCCCACCCATCACTTCCCCTAACCCCAACGCCAGCTGCCTCAGTGATGGCGCCCGCCGTCACTAGTCGAACAGTACCTGAGAGGAGGGGTGAGGATGAAAGAAAAAACACACTTCAAAAGAAAAAAGACAGAGTCGTCAGGGCTCCCAAGACCGAGCTACGAGTTTATTTTTCTCTTCCCTTTTATACAACCCGTGAGTTTGTTACAGGTGAATTTGGTTGTTACAGGTGAGTTTGGTTGTTACATCATGACCCTTATCCAGGGACACCTGCTTCCCTGCTTTCCAGTCCCTTGGCAATTCCCCACCCTCATGGGCCTTCCCGTTTCTCGGGGCTACAGAACGTTCATCACATTCCAGGGCAATCTCTGAAGGTAAACATCCAATTTAGGTAAGGATGTGGTTCCTCATAACATAGTCTCCATACAATGGAGGGTAAGATTAAAAATGGAGTCTCCTTAGCTACCACCGCTCCCCACACCTCAGGAGTCCAGAATTGAAGCCTGGTGTGCACACGGCCTCACGGGAAGTGACAGAACCACTGACGACAGGATTGCGGCCCCTCTGAAGGCTGGTGACAAGTGACAGTGGGGAAGAGAATTCCCTCTGGGCCAGACTCATCATATATTCTGTTGTCCATTTTGCTTGGAAGGAGAAAAGAGCGTACAGATCTCCACAGACGAGTGGATGGTAGCCAGCACCAGAGAGCAGGCTCCTCGAGGGTAGGACTTTAGATTTCACCATTTTCTTTATTTTTGACATATAGCAGAGCACAATAATATTCTTTAATTCCTTATTTGTTTGCTTTTTAAGACATAGTCTCACTCAGTTGTAGCTCAAGCTGGCCATGATCCCAAGTGTTTGCACCACCACACCCAGCTTGTTAGTTCTTTCTCTTTTTCTCCTTGTGATACTGAGGATGGAATCCAGCCCCTCAGAAGATAGGCAAATGCTCTACCACTGACTACATTCCAGCTACTTTACTTAATTCTATGTTCTACTTAAGGATGGTCAGGGCTGGGAAAGAACAAGATTGGGGGCTGGCTGGAGAGTTGGAGGGAGACACGTAGGGAGCCTTCTTACCAAGGGTCTTGGGTGTGAGCTGTGGGTGAGCTGAATGCTCACAACAGTCCAAGCATGGAGGGGCTCTTCTTCAACAGGTGGTCGAGACAGTCAGCTCCCTGGGGGCTTGCTCATGAACAAAGAAGCGTGGTGGCAGGGACAGTGGCAACTAACCTCATCATTTAATTCAGAGACCTTGGGCCACCAGGTCAAGATTGTGAATGAAGACCATGTTCATGATCAGAATAATGGCCCCGGCACGTGGAGAAGCATAGGGTGGACTCTTCCGAGTAGAGGCGATGGTTCGTTTGTTGTCTTTTCTTTTTGCTGAATCCTGAACCAGCCCAGCCAGACCTCTCTCTCAGAAGTGGCTTTTTTTTCATTTAAGGCTTAAAACTTAAAGCACTGAGCAGCAGGTGCCCCCTCTGGGGTCTGGTTTTCCCCAGGGAAAGACAGCAAGGAACACGTACCAGAAGCTGGGGGTAGGTGTCAATGCTAGGTCAGCTGGGGTCCATACAGTGATATTTTACTTATCTTTCCCCTTTACTCAGTTCTTCCCTGCCTCTAACAAACAGAATTGGGAGATAGAAACAGTCCTTTTTAAGGGCTTCCTAATTCAAGATTGTGAAATTCTTGGCCTGGGTGGGGCTGAAGGGAACATGATATTTTTCTCCAAAATGAAGAGTCCCAATTTATGTCAGTGTTAGGAAAAAACCAAAACTGACAGTTAGACGAGACTCTCATGGACTATTTCATGGTCATTAGGCTAAAAAATTTATATCAGCAGCATTTAATCATTCTCACCTGCCTATGGGCATGCCACCCTGAACACGCCCGATCGCCTCTAATCTTTCCCAACTGCAGAGAATAAGAAAATCAGAAGGTAACCATATGGCTTAGCTCTAGATGTCCCGCCAAAACCTCATGAGCTCATAGGTGGGGCTTTTGGGGGTAACTGGATCATACGTGTGTGGTATTGGATCAGAGTGTGCTACTGGATCAGGGTTGTGGAACTGGATCACACGTGTGTGGAACTGGATCAGGGTATATGGTACTGGATCACACGTGTGTGGTATGGGATCACACATGTGTGCTACTGGATCACAAGTGTGTGGAACTGGATCATGGTGTGTGGTACTGGATCAGGGTGTGTGGTACTGGATCATACATGTGTGGTACTGGATCAGGGTGTGTGGAACTGCATCAAGGTGTGTGGTACTGGATCACACGTGTGATGCTGGATCAAGGTGTGTGGAACTGGATCAGTGTGTGTGGTACTGGATCAGGGTGTGTGAAATTGGATCACCCATACATGTTCTTGCCGCGAGGCCCTGAGTGAGCCGCACAGCTCCTCTGGAAGCCTAAAGGAGTGAAGCTGGCTGGGCAAGGTCACTCCAGGGGCAGTGGGAGCCAGGGCTGGTGAGATGGTGACGGGAAAGGCCAAGGTCACGTAGCTGAATCACATTGTCACCTAGGGGTTCCGTGAGAAGATGATGACGCTCCCCAATTCAACAAGTCCCTGTTAGGTCTGGAAGCTGCACACAAAAACAGAGGTCCCATACTTACTTCTACAGGATGCCTGGCTGGAGGGAAGAAATCACATAGTAGTAAAAATGAAAGAATTACCCAGCCAGGAATCTGAGAGAGATTTAGAAAATGTGTGTGTTTAATGTTACTTTCACAGTGAGCTGAGTGCCTGTGAAGGTGTTAAATTAAAACGACAGATGCTGAATGCAGTTTTCTCATTGAAACAGTGTTTTAACAGTAAAATTCCTGACTTGAACTTTGATGGCTCCATTGTAGAAATAAATGTGTGCACCACGTTCTGCTAATGTTAGTGACACGCAGCACACCTGTACCTGATATAGACTCACACTGCTTAAAATCAGCTAATGGGGCAACGGCAGGACCAAGTCCACGCAGACCCAGAGGGCAGAGGAACCCAGGGACAAGGTTCCGTCTTCACAGAAGACTCTTAGTGTTTGGACAAGTAATCAGAAGGTGAGGGCCTCCTCCCTCCGTGAAGGCCATAGGATGCACAAGGGCGTCTCAAGGGCATTCGGCTGCACTATAGGGCTTTAGACCAGTGACCCACAAATACTTGGCAGAATTCCTCCTTTAGTAACAAATTCCCTGCAGCCCACAGGGGTCTTGCTCCTGCCTGGCTGGAAAGTGGCCCTGCCACTTCTACCCTTGCCCTAGCAGCTGCGGTGTGGATGACATCCTCATTTCCCCTGCCTGTCGCCAAGCTGGGCTGGGGAAGCCACGAGCCTTGTGTCCCCAGAGGGCAGCCTCTGGTCCATCCTTGCTCTTCCTCTGTAGTTGTGCTGCTCCATGCCAACCAAGCTCTCAGGACTGATGTGCATGTGAAACACAGCTGCAGGGCAGGGTAGCAAATCCGAAGGTTCAACATTTGCATCACTCAGTTTCTGACACCTCTTGCCTCAGTACAGAGATCGACCGGGGCGTGGTGGTGCACACCCGTAATCCCAGCACTCAGGAGGCTGAGGTGGGACGCAGGAAGATCACCGTGAGTTCAAGGCCAGCCTGGACTACATAGTGTCAGAACAAAAACAAAACCACTGAGACCACAACTTTGTCCCTTCCTTTCACCAGGGAAAGCCTACAGGTGTAACGTTTCTCACCCAAGAACCTGTCTCTCTTCCTCCAAAAGGAGAAGGATCTCTAAGCTAACAGAGATGAAAAAAAGTCAGGAAAAGTATTACATGCATTCTTAAAATAATGGCAGATTTTTTGTTTTTTGGTACCGGGAATCGAACGCAAGACCTTGCGCTTGTGAGGCAGGCGCCGGAACCACTGAGCTAAATCCCTGGCCCAGTGGAAGGTTTGTAAAAGAATTCTTATTTGGGGGAATAAGTGACACGAGAGGCAAGGCTTTGCTAAATCCTTCTCTGGGAAAGTGTGTACCACCGAGCTTCCGGAAGCAGAAGGTTCAGGATGCGCATGCGTCTGCTCTTGGCTGGCCAGGTCACCCAAAGGGTGATTGTTGAAGCCTCCCTCCGCTTGCAGCGAGACCTGGGTTCACGTGTAGGGTTCCGGGTGGGCAGGAGGACGGTGTCCTCATT